GGAGGGCATGCCAGACCAGGGCCCAACTGAAGAGGAAAACAAGGCCAAGGTTGTCAGAAGAGAATGTGGTGACATCTAGCTATGGTGACGGCCTCAGAAGAGCTGAGAATTCCCTTATGCTGGTAGATGGAGAGTCAGCAGCCTACCTAGTCTGGAGGCTTGGCAGAAAGAAATCCCAGTCCCAGAATACATCCCTCTTCATTCATTCCACAAACATTTTTCAAGTATTTGCTATCAAGTAAGGGAACATTTTTTTTTTAATATTTGTTTATTTTTGAGAGACAGAGAGAAAGAGACAGAGTGTGAGCGGGGGAGGAGCAGGGAGAGAGATACAGAAACTGAAGCAGACCCCAGATGCGGGGCTTGTACTCACGAACCGCGAGATTATGACATGAACCGAAGTCAGATGCTTAACAGACTGAGCTACCCAGGTGCCCCATTTTTAACATGAGACATTTAAAAGGAAGAAGGAAAGGATGCTCACACACAAAAAGTACAGGTGTACAGTATTTCAAAATACTCAAAATACTCTAGGTTATACCAAAAAGAGTCCATGCTCTGATTAGGAAATTTAATTATTTCTGAAGGCATTTAGATGAGAGCTTTACTTATGTTAAGATTAGTTTCCTCCTTTTACTTCCTCTCTCAAGGTTCTTTTCTACTTCCTTCTATGGGAACAACTTTAACCATTCTTATGAAGCTCAAAAACTATGTAAATAGAAGAAGTACACCACTAAATCATATCTATTAAACATCTTGGTTTCAAAGGGCACTGAAGCACATGATTCAAGATAGAAACCATACTGAGTGAGAAAATACCACTGAAAGCCAGGAAGCAAAAGATCAAAATTACACTTCAGCTTTACAGAAGCACAGTTTATAACTTAATTGCTGATGTCCAACACCTAGTTGTCAAGTCCTGGAACTTCCCTAATTCTATTCTAAATGACCAGAACATAATTCTAGGGAGGTAGATCTATATGTGATTACAATCACATTGTTGAACTGAATCACACTGTTGAAAAGAAAGGTTATGGAGAAAGAAAAGGAATGCTCTATGGGAGTTAGGAAAAAGGCTCAAGAATGCAGCATTCATTCTCCAGGTTGGAAAGACATATAATCTGGCAGACTTAAGAATGCTATCTGCTAAGGAGACAGCAAGTGTGAGGTAGGCACAAAGCTTCACCTTGCCTGAATAAAGTATTTACCCAAATCATCCAGGTATTTTTGCTCCGAGTCCAAGTTCACCTAGAAGTTTTCTGGCTAGCTGCTCAAATATTCTGACAACAGGAATCATATGCCAGAGATAGAGAACAGTAGCACTCAGGTCCCTGGAAAATATCTCCTCACAATAGGTTAAAAGAGTGACACACATTCTTGTTTATACAACAGGCAATACAGTGTGGTGGTTAAATGCCCAATACTTGGAGGCATAATGCTTTTAAATCCTATTGTTTAATTTACTTCTTTGTGCTTCAGTTTTCATTAAATGAGAATATAATGTTTATTGGAGCATTATAAGGATTGAGTTAATTCATGCAAAGCATTTAAACCTTGCCTGGCATGGTTTATAGTGCTCAACAAAGCTACTATAATTTTTCATAATAGTTGTTAAACATCTCTTGTGACTTTGATTTGGGAACCAAAATCCAAGCACGATCAACCCTAAAAAAATTGTGATTTTGCACTATCAAAGAAGTGTCACAATGTAAGGACTCAGTAGTCCTTATATTACATATGCAGTAATATATTGTATGTATGTGCGTACAGAGTGGGTAGGGTGGGGAGACACAGGAGACAGGTTGTGAAGGGCTTTGTATACTCTACAAAGAAGTTGGGAATTTTATTTTATAAGCTTTAAGAGGCCATCTAAATGTAATCTCCGTTATCAAAGCATTGTTCAAATAAATTTAAATCCAAGTTACAGATCTCACAAAAATCAATATGAGGGGATTCCAGAAAAATACACTCATCAGTGATGTAAATATTTTAGTAGCAATACAACCTAAATTGAAATCAAAACCAAAATGTCAGTGAATTTAAATGAGCGCAAATAGAACCACACCTCCACCCCCAGTCTTACAAAAAGAACAGTACATGCTGTTTCCTGGCTCTACAATCCACTTCCTCCAATTGTTGGGAGGCACTGGATCCATCTGTGTCAAGTCTCTACCCACCACAACAAAGAAAAGACCAGTCCTTGTCATCTAGTCCTCTCTCGATCTACAGAGCTACAAACAAAATATGGCACTAGAATCAAAAAGTTCAGCACTCTTGGATGCAAGCAACATCATATATTATAAATATACATAACGCTAAGTATAAACACAACTAAAAAACACTCTTCCAGAATGTTTAAAACACAGGAATGAAAGGAAGAAAAAAAAGCACCTTAATTCAGAAGAAAAAAACCAAACAGTAGCTGATTTCACTAAAATGTCAAAGAGCTAACATCCTCTTTTTTCCCTTTTGCTATTCTAATCTACTTTCATCTGGTGAGACCAGATAAGTAAGTTTGCTAGAATTGTGTCAAAACAGTGAATGCCATCACTGGGTCCAGTGGCCTAAACCAATCCTTAATTTTAAAGTGGGTAGGTTATGGGGTGCCTGGGTGGCTCAGGGTTAAGCATCTGACCAGTTCAGGTCATGATATCAAGGTTTGTGAATTCGAGCCCCACTTCAGATGAGCTCTGCTTCTCTCTCTCTCCTCTCTTTCTCTGCCTTTCATGGGATTCTCTCTCTCTCTGCCTCCTTGATCACTTGTGCCCTTTCTCTCTAAAAAAATTTTAAAAATAGACTGAGTAGGTTAGTTCCAAAGCAGTATTTTCCAGAGTGCAGAGTAAGAACACAAGATGATTTCAGCTGTTATATAAGCAATAGTTATGTATTTAAATAGTTTTTATTTTTCGGGGCGCCTGGGTGGCTCAGTCGGTTAAGCATCCGACTTCAGCTCAGGTCACGATCTCACGGTCCGTGAGTTCGAGCCCCGCATCGGGCTCTGGGCTGATGGCTCAGAGCCTGGAGCCTGCTTCCAATTCTGTGTCTCCCTCTCTCTCTGCCCCTCCCCCGTTCATGCTCTGTCTCTCTCTGTCTCAAAAATAAATATCGTTTAAAAAAAAAATAAAAAATAAAAATAAAAAAATAGTTTTTATTTTTAATTATTTTAAATGTTTATTTACTTATGGGGAAGGGGGTGCAGAGCCCAATGTGGGGCTCAAACTCATGAACTGTGAGATCATGACCTGAGCCAGAATCGAGTCAGATGCATAACCGACTAAGCCACCCAGATGCCCCTAGCAATAGTTACGTATTTAAGTTACATGTATATTATAACGTATACTAGAAAAGGGAATAAAATACATAAAAACCATGATTTCACAGATTATCACTTTGGAAAAGTGTAATGTTGAAAACAAATCTATTAAAAACATGAAATATTGCAGATGATCTTCTAAAAGACAAATTTTACAATGCTGGTATGGTTCATGATGGGTGAAATACTGACAGTTGTCCCATGAACAACTTGGGCCTGTTTCTTTGTTTACCTGCTTCCATCTAGGTTCAAGGCTGTGTTCCGAATAATTAGAAAAGGTGTGACCTTTAGTTAAGTGAGCTTGCTACTATGTTTAAGCAAACACTACTATTTACAGGAAAGAGTGTTATACTGTTAAGAATAGTGTCTATAGGAAAGAGTGTTAAGAAAATAATGGCACAATAATCCACTGCTATCCTGGAACTAGGATAACAGCAATTCTCTAGTGTATACCCATATACCACAAGCACCCCGCCCCCCAAAAACCCAAAAACAAAAATAAAAAGCCTACTAACACTGATAAATATTTGAGCTGTAGGCTGTTGCATGATCATTTCATTCACTTTCACATCATCTGTCAAAGGAGCATGGTAATTGTGAAAAGAAGTGTTTCTTCTAATATCTATATGAATATGAATATATTCTTTCTCATTACCTCTTGCCAAAGGAACAAAAGACAATTAACCATTAGATGCTTTAGGCATCAACTGTGATTATGGAAGAAACATTATTTTTTAAAAATCTTACTATGAAATATCTTAAGGTTAGATTTCAAAGTATTCTAGCTAATGAGGTCCCATGCATTTAAAGTGTGGTATTTTCCAGGCTAGGCAAGAACGTGGGAGAACCATTTCTACCTGACCATATTTTACCTGCACATCTGAAAGCCAGTCTTAAGGGCACATGGAATAATATTCCTCTCAATTCTTTAACTATCTGCTACTAAGAAGCTATATTATTTTCACATGGCCAAGGGAACGCTGTCAGAAGCTACCAGTATCCAAACAGCCCTCTCCAGTCGTCCACCTACTCCCTGAAGATGACTAGCAAAAGGCAAAACGACACTCCCTTCTCATCTTCCTTTCCCAACTTTGACGTCTTTCGGTTTTCTCTACTCTCATGTACCTTTCCTAATACTGTAGTGATTAATGACTTAAAAAAGGTTGAAATGAAGCAGTACTTTCCAGTACTCTCCCCCTACCCACAACAACTCCAGGCTGGAACTGTGAAATTCGTTTTACGGATCCTTCGTGCGTCTGCAGTACAGCCACGAGGTAAGAATGGACTTTCCTAGAGAGCCTGGACTCTCCAATGCCACGAACCTCAGAGACCTTCAAATAACTAGTTCAGAGTTATCTGATCACTTGTGGTCACCGTACAGTCTTCTAATCACGACCACAGCAACACTGTAGAGGAGAGGGAGTGGGAGTTTACCTCTGCTTGGTTTTGAGGAGGGGACCAACGAACCACCACCCCACCACCCTTCCTCCGCCGCCCCTCGGTAGTTTCCTGGCGCCTCGCGTCCTTGCTCTGGGCCCGACCTGCCCAGTAGAGGCAAGAGCACTTCCCCCCCTCCCCTTAAGCCCGACCCCACGAACTTTTAAACACAATAATACTCCTTCTTCTTGGGACCTGATCCCAATCTTCAACCCGACTAGCTCCCTCAACCCCACTCCTGGAAGCTCACCAACCAGTTCCGGCCACTCCTCTCGCGCCGCAGCGGCTCGGACACCCCCAGACCGGACTTGGAGCTGCCTCCTCCTAGCGCCTGCGCGTGCCGGGCCCGCGCGCCTGCGCACTTCCCCGGCCGCGCGGGCGCGGACACACCCCTGGAGCAGGAGCCAATCACCTTCTGAGGGGTTTAAATCTCCCTGCCACGCAGGCGAAGAGCCTGGGGAGTCGCCCGTTAACCGGATAATTCGAATCCCTCCCGAAGGTGGGATATATTCATGCAACAAACATTTGTCGAGGGCAAGCCATCTGCTGGATGATTGCTGAAGAAAAGGAGACAAGAATGCCTTCCTTGCTCTCCAGGATCTTTTGATCTATCTAGATTGGAGATCGATATGTAAACAAATAATAGTGGGTAGAATTTAGTGAGTGGCATCAGGAAGTCCGAGGCGGAGTCGGTGCACAATGAAAGCTGCACCTTATCCTTAGGGATGTCTGGAAGGGTTCCCAGAGAAAGCGACTTTTCAATCAGGAAGGCTAAGTAGGAATTCTCCTAGAAGTCTGGGATAGAGGGTGATAGTTTTCCAGCCTGCGGAAACAGCCTTTGCCACTAGGAACATAGCACTTTCTGTAAATTTCTTGTAGTTCATTCTGCTGAGAGGCTTAGAGCTCATCGTGTATCTCCAGGTGAAGTGGGGAATAACCTTTAAATAGTCGGCAACGGGCTAGATCTTGGTAGGTCTTGCACTTTATACTGGACTTTAGTGTGCAAGCTTAAGTGAGCCTGCACTTTATACTATGGCTACAGAAATCCATTGAAGGGTTTTAAACAGGTCTAGGAACTCTTCTGGGTACCTCTAAGAATAGAGCACAGTGCTGGAAATTAATAATTAAAAAAATAATAACAGCACTTCGAAGGAATCTACTTCTAAGGGTCAGGAAAGTGAACCCTGAGAAATATCTTTTGTATATTGTAACACAGAGGTCATTGGTGATCTTAGTGAAAGCTATGTGGTGGAATGATTAAGTTGAAAGATAGATTGCAGCAATTTCGAGAGAGGGGAGGTGCAAAAGTAGGGAGAGGTTATAAAATGCTTTTGGAAAGTTAGGCCTTGACAGACAAGGGGTCAAAGTTTTTGTTTCTGTTGTTTGGATTTTTGTTAGAATTAAGACAGGAGAAACTTGAGCATGATAGGCAACATACAACTGAGGGGAAAAATAGTTGAATAAACAGAAGTGTTAATAGGTAAAGATCTTGAGAGAATAAGAGTAGAGACAATCCAAAGTACTGGTAGGAGGAATGGTGTTGGAAGAGAAATAAAGATATCTCCTCAATTATAATAAGAGGAAGTATGTGTCTGTAAGTGTGTATGTTTAGTAACAGGAAGTTAAAGAAGTTCTCATCTCATGACCTCTGTTTTCTTTGTGAAATAGGAGATGAGGTCATTTGCTAATAGAAAAGGAGTTGGGGGTTTTAAGGAAAGTGGAGAAGTTTTCGAATATGGTTGTATAAAGTGACAGAACAAGTTGATCAGAGAAAGACTGGAGGACTGGTGTCAGTGTCAAGGGCCTGTATAAGATTGGTAAAAATGAACTCTCCCTCTTCTATCTTGGTGTGTGGCTTTCTTAAGCACCAATCACTTCTTATAGGCAGAAGTGGACAAAATTTATGGTTGAGTTTATTTATGGTGTATTTATCCATGGTGTAATGCCATGGTTCTCAATCAGGAACATTTTTGTCCTTGAGCGGACATTTGGCAGTGTCTGGAGACATTTTTGATTGTCAAGACGACAGGGATTGGGGTGGCGGATATAAAGGGGATACTACAGGCATTTAGTATCCCGGAATGCTAAGTATCCTACAATGCACAGGACAGCCCAAGAATCATCTCCAAAATATCAATAGTGCAAAGGTTAAGAAACCCTGATCTAGGATTACCTTGATGCTCACCAATGGCTGACCTTGGTCTTCTACAAGCTTTTCTTTGGACTATGGCCCTCAGCTTATAGGGTAAAGTAGTCCTTCCATTGCATGCCTTTAAAGGAGAGTAGAATGAGCAGCATACCTCAGACCTTGAGTGTTTAGAAGAATTGTGATGTCACAAACACACAATTAGAATAGTTCCTCAATCCTTTAGAAGCAAATCTGGGGGCGCTTGGGTGGCTCAGTCAGTCGAGTGTCTGACGTCGCTTAGGTCATGATCTCACAGTTTGTGAGGTCAAGCCCCGTATCAGGCTCTCTGCTGTTAGTGCAGAGCTGGCTGATCCTTTGTCCCCCTATCTCTCTGCCCTCTCCCTGCTTGTGTGCGTGCTCTCTCTCTCTTTTTCTCAAAAAAAAAACATTAAAAAAAAAAAGGGTTCTAAGCAAGTCTGGACTTACACATAGATGAAGGTGCTTGCTTTGATTTTAGGTATTGCAGGTCTTGTTAAACATAGACATTATCAGAAGCTCAATAATATGGGAGGAGTAACACTTTACAACATTATTAATCCTAATGTAACTTGGTTTATCTGATTATTTGTAGTCACTAAAATAGGGAATGTGTATGGGCTAAGTTTAATAAAGAAATATATTAAATATTAATAAAAATATAATCATTGGTATTCATGTATTGTTCACTCTGACAGGCACCCATTCATGGATAGGAACGTGACCTATATTATGTCTTTTAATCCTAGCAACACCCTGAGAGATAGCATTATCCTAATTTTAACTGTGAAGAAACTGAGGTTCCAAGAAAACTTGTAATTTGCCCAAAGTCATAAGTTACTAGCGGCTAGATCAAAATTTGAACTCAGATATCTGTCTGTCCTCAAGCTCCTGCAACATCCATTAAATTTCAGTAAATTTTCCAAGGCAGGAATGGTTGGAAATGTAGCTTAAACAATTGCCACTGCATAAAGGGAATGCTGGGGATTTAGGAAGAGAGTAGAAGCAAAAGGAAGGCCGGGGAAGAACAAAGAGAAAGAAAAAGGAACGAGGAAGGCTAGTCACAACTGAGTTCAGTGCAGCAGAGTAACTTCCTCAAGCTTGCCTGCCGGCCTTTGATCTTTCTTTTTGCGTAAAGCTTCTTTCCCCTGTGTCCGTTGTTCACTCTCATGTGTTCAAATAAAGCTAGATTATTGAGAAAGGCGGACAGCAAAGGGAAAAAAAAGGGGAGCGTGACGGTGGCGGTGTGCGCCTGCGCGCTGGCGGCGGCGGCGGCGGTGCCCGGCGGGGAGGGGGTCCGGAGTGGGCCGCCGGACCCAAAACTGAGTGGGGGGGCCTCAGGGAGTCCCCTCGCCGGGATCTTGGCGGCCTGATGGAGTAGGAGGGGTCGGCTGTGAGTGTGAGTATCGAGGGTCGGGCCGCGTTGAGGCGTTTCGGAACGGGAGGGTCCCGGTGGTCCGCGCCTAAGGTTTGGGGCTGCAGGACGTGGCCGGGTTTTTGCTCGTGCAGGCTGCGGCACAGGGGCAACCCCCTTCTCCCGGAGCCCGCGCGGTTTACGGGCAGGCGGTGCTTCTGGCTTCGGGATACAGATTCTCGCGGGGGCGTTCCGACTCTACTTCCAGCCCCGGCAGGAAACGTGCCTGCAAGAACCTTGACCTTTAGGGGAGGCCGCTGACCTCCTTCGGCCCCCGGTTCCGCAGGGATCCCGCAGACCTAGGTGCTTAAAGGCCTCCGGGTCACAGGCCAGGGACACCTTTCGACCTCTTGTGACTGACAGCCTCCGTTCTTTTTCCTCCTTCCGTCTTCTATCCGTTTGGGATGCGTCTTAATAATAGCTACGATTTATGGAGCGCTTACTACGTGTCAAGCTAGTATTTAGTCTGAATCTCGGTGCATAATTATGGGGAGGAGATGCTTTGCACTCAAATGCTTTGAGTCTGTTCAATTTAATCATCTTTAAGAGTCAGCCTAACCATTTTATTGGGAAGTTTGAGATTTCCTTGGCTCTTAGCAACTTAGGACCATCCGAGTTAAGGGAAGTTCTTCTCTTACCTAGCAAATGGGTGCTTTATCTACCATAATGGTTTATGTCGAATTTAGCTAAGCCGAAATAACTTGTGAGAACTTCCTAAAAGCCTAATAGTATTCCAAACGCCATGGGAAATCTTAAAATGTGTTCTAAGCCCTGTTCACGAGTTTGGTTGTGAATGAATCCATGAAATATTTAGATTCAGTTAGGACTTATTTAGCATCTGCTGCATTGTACACTCCGGTGTGTCACAAAAAATTGATGAGATACTGTAATGGCAAGTGGATTTTTGAAGCATATTTCTGATGAGGTACCTAAGGGTTTGACCATAATTTGCTCAAGCTAAACTAGCTAGGGTAAGTGGTGAAATTCACATATGCCAAGTCTCCTCTTTTTCCTGTTACACCAAGTTAGATATTCTAAGCACTTTTGGGAAGCAACTACATTACAGTTACAGTTTCTAGAGTTAACTCCTGAGTCTAGAGAATGGTATGTGCTTTTAAAGGTACTAGAGGGGCACCTGGGTGTCTCAGTTGGTTGAGAGTCTGACATCGACTGAGGTCATAGTCTCAGCTCCTGAGTTCGATCCCCGCATCAGGCTCTGTGCTGACAGCTCAGCCCCAGGGCTTTGGATTCTGTCTCCCTGTCTCTGCCCCTTCCCCAGCTCACACTCTGTCTCTCTCTCAAAAATAAATAAACATTTAAAAAAATTAAAGAAAAATAAAGGTACAAGGTAGTTTTTGAAGAGAACTTCAGCATGGGTTGGAAGGTGGTAAGAGGGTGTGAAGGAATCTGGTCAAGTTAGTTCATAATCAGTTGCTTTGATTAAAAAAGAGAATCTAAAAAGGAAAAACGGCAAATAGTAATTATTTATCTAGCTTAGAGCATAGCACATGTAGTCTGCTGTATAAGAGGTTTCTGTACAAGAAAAGGAAGGAATAATGGTAGATGCTAGATGAATTGGTTCTGGGGCCAGGAATGGCTCTGTGAGAAATATACATGTTATCCATTTCCTAATTCAAACATCATAGTGGGAAGTTTAGGATTAATTTGTGTATCCAGTAAATAACATGTAGGCAGACAAGCACATTGAATGTGCTATCTCCAATTGAAACCTTATAGTCAGTTGGGTTTTTTTCCTCTTCTAATCTGAAAGAGTCTATCAAGAATTTAGAGTTCCTAAGTGTTCATCAGTAGAGGACTGGTTAAGTAAAGTATGCCTTTGTAAGAATGAGCCAGCCCTCTGTGTGCTAATACTGAGTAATAACCAAGATACATTAAGTGAAAAAAAAAAAGTGAAAAAGAGGTTTCACAACTGTGTGTGTGTGTGTTTAAACTGTGGTTATTTGTGTATATATATACCTAGAATATCTCTGGAAGAATTCAGAAGAAACTGGTAACAGTGACTGGAAGTTGAAGTGGCTGAGAAACAGGAGTGGGAATGGAATTATTTTCTGTATAAGTTTTTAAGAATTTCTTATGAAAACTTTTAAACATCCAGAAAAGTAGAGAAAATACTATATTGAACCCATGTAAATTGATCATTCTTTTTCAAATCTGCTGTTACATTGCTATTTGCTTTTATTCCTGACATTTCACCCCTACACACTTTAATACATGTCTCTAATGAAAAGAACATTTTCCTGCATAACTCAATAGCATAATCACACGAAACAACTAATTCTTGTATATTATCTAAAACCTAATCTTTATTAAAATTTCCCCAAATTTGGGGCACCTGGCTGGCTCAGTGGGAAGACCATGCAACTCTTGATCTCAGGGCTGTGAGTTCGACCCCCACGTTGGGTGTAGAGATTACCAAAAAAAAAAAAAAAGATTTAGAAAATTAAATTAAAAAATTTTCCCAAATTGCCCCCCACTTATTTCTTCTTTTTTACTGTTTTTGATCCTATTTCCAATAAAAGTTTATGCATTGCATTTGGCTTTTATGTCTCTTGAAATCTTTTCAAATCTAGAACAGTTAACTTTTTTTTTCTTTTTCATCATAACTTGTTGAAGAGACCCTGTCAATGACCTGAATTTAACTGATTGATTCCTAGTGATATCACTTAGCTTGTTACTGCTAACAAAGGTAAGGTAAATGCTTGATTGGTTTCAGGTTAAACACTTTGGGTACAATGTCATAGGCTATGCTCTATACTCTAGTTTTTCCGCTATTAGTGATAGTAGTGCGTGATAGATAGACATTGATTAGTGGGTTCAGGTGGTAAATTGGAGTTCTCCATTGAAACCAGCTGTACACCCATTTCTATTTTAAAAATTTGAAACATGTTACCTATTGAAAATGTAAATAATTACCTTTAGAAAGAAAAGCTCACAGCAAGAAATTGCTTCTTCTTTTTTAAACTGAATCCCTGATTACTAGGTGGTAGTATCTCATTTTATAGAAAAGGAATTTGAAGTTCAGAAAGATTAAAATTTACTTGGGGTAGTAAACCTATTTTTTGTCTACTTCAGAGGTCATGCTTTTCCACCAGATTTTGTAAACTATAAACTGGTATATAAATATAAAATTATTATTACTCCTAGTAGTTATGTTACTTGTCCCTTTATGTCTTTTTGGATAGGTACTCAGTTTCTAATTATATTAGACTTTTTTGGAGTATCAGTAAACTGCGATAGGTCTCTTTAGTGTGATGAACATTCTGAAAGTTCAAAATATATGTGCAAGTCAAACTTCTTAATGATTTCTGGAGTTTATTTTTTTTATTTTTTTTTATTTTTTCAATATATGAAATTTATTGTCAAATTGGTTTCCATACAATACCCAGTGCTCATCCCAAAAGGTGCCCTCCTCAATACCCATCACCCACCCTCCCCTCCTCCCACCCCCCCCCATCATAACCTCAGTTTGTTCTCAGTTTTTAGTCTCTTATGCTTTTGGCTCCCTCTAACCTCTTTTTTTTTTCCCTTCCCCTCCCCCATGGGTTTCTGTTAAGTTTCTCAGGATCCACATAAGAGTGAAAACATATGGTATCTGTCTTTCTCTGTATGGCTTATTTCACTTAGCATCACACTCTCCAGTTCCATCCACGTTGCTACAAAGGGCCAGATTTCATTCTTTCTCATTGCCACGTAGTACTCCATTGTGTATATAAACCACAATTTCTTTATCCATTCATCAGTTGATGGACATTTAGGCTCTTTCCATAATTTGGCTATTGTTGAGAGTGCTGCTATGAACATTGGGGTACAAGTGTCCCTATGCATCAGTACTCCTGTATCCCTTGGGTAAATTCCTAGCAGTGCTATTGCTGGGTCATAGGGTAGGTCTATTTTTAATTTTCTGAGGAACCTCCACACTGTTTTCCAGAGCGGCTGCACCTATTTGCATTCCCACCAACAGTGCAAGAGGGTTCCCGTTTCTCCACATCCTCTCCAGCATCTATAGTCTCCTGATTTGTTCATTTTGGCCACTCTGACTGGTGAGGTGATATCTGAGTGTGGTTTTGATTTGTATTTCCCTGATAAGGAGCGACGTTGAACATCTTTTCATGTGCCTGTTGGCCATCTGGATGTCTTCTTTAGAGAAGGGTCTATTCATGTTTCTGCCCATTTCTTCACTGGGTTATTTGTTTTTCGGATGTGGAGTTTGGTGAGCTCTTTATAGATTTTGGATACTAGCCCTTTGTCCGATAGGTCATTTGCAAATACCTTTTCCCATTCCGTTGGTTGCCTTTTAGTTTTGTTGGTTGTTTCCTTTGCTGTGCAGAAGCTTTTTATCTTCATAAGGTCCCAGTAATTCATTTTTGCTTTCAATTCCCTTGCCTTTGGGGATGTGTCGAGGAAGAGATTGCTACGGCTGAGGTCAGAGAGGTCTCCTCTAGGGTTTTGATGGTTTCCTGTCTCACATTCAGGTCCTTTATCCATTTTGAGTTTATTTTTGTGAATGGTGTGAGAAAGTGGTCTAGTTTCAACCTTCTGCATGTTGCTGTCCAGTTCTCCCAGCACCATTTGTTAAAGAGACTGTCTTTTTTTTCCATTGGATGTTCTTTCCTGCTTTGTCAAAGGTTAGTTGGCCATACGTTTGTGGGTTTAGTTCTGGGGTTTCTATTCTATTCCATTGGTCTGTGTGTCTGTTTTTGTGCCAGATTTCTGGAGTTTCAAAAAAGTTTTGTACAAAGAAGCATTATTCAGTCTTAGTTCTTGTGCCTTAGGTCTTCTAGGTTTAAAAAAATATATGAGTTAGGGGTGCCTGGGTGGCTCAGTCGGTTGAGGGTCTGACTTTGGCTCAGGTCATGATCTCGCTGTCCATGGATTTGGGCCCCGTGTCAGGCTCTGTGCTGACAGCTCAGAGCCTGGAGCCTGCTTCAGATTTTGTGTCTCCCTCTCTCTCTGCCCCTCCTCCA